CAAATATTTTCATAAAAGGAAAAACAAAATTGGTCAGAATCAATCAGTGGAAAGTATGCCTTGCTCAGAACATTAATCCTATAAAACTTGCCATCGTCTATCACATCTATTAATATAAAATGAAGTGTACTGAAACATACTGTGAACAGAGTTTGCCTGAATTTCGTGTGAAGCTGAAAATTAGCTCTGCGATGAATTTGGTTTATTTTTTTTTAAAGATACATTTGTAAGGCAAGAAATTTGATTCCACACATAAGCAAGTGCAAGTTTAAATGACAGAGGGAACGTCTTCAATTTGTTTTGTGTAACTTTCATAAAATACCGTACTGTGATTTTATCTGCCATACTCAATTTGAAAACAGATGTGTTGTCTAATAAGAAACTACCTTTCTCATAAAATTAGAATGCTGAACCAGGTATCTGTGATTATGCGTGACAGCAATAAGCCCTGGATGTTTTATTTGTTTTGCCCCATTAAGTATGCTGTATCCATGATTTTCCATGTTAAAAGGTAGCAACAAACTGAACTACAGTTCCTAAGAACAACAACGGTAAGATGTGGAGAGCGGGTGGCTGCTTTCAAGAGCTTGTACTCTCTGTTTTAAATGTGCCCCCTGGTGTTCAAAGAACATAGATTCACCATCTGGGAAGATCCATCAAAAAGGTGATACTATCTACCTTCAGTACTGTTTTCTCAGTGAATCTGAGATGACTCTCCCCTACTGGGGAGAAAATAGTTTTCCTTTAAAGTGAGTAAGCCTTATAAAAACTAGTTACATAATCTTCAGTTGTGGTTTGAACTGTAGGCAGCAAGTATGCTTTCTGAATGCTTAAAAAACATCAAATCATTTTCTGTGATCTACTGAAATAGGAATGACATTGTACTATCTCACCTAAAGCGAGATCAAGGATAAGCACTTTCAAATTAATTCCTACTGTACAATAGTGACAAATCAGTTTTTCCCCTGGTGTGCATAACCAAAGGAAAATGATATGTATGTTCCCTGAAGCCCTGTTAGGTAATTTGAAGCAATGATAAGTTGAAACAACTGTACTGGACTGAGGGCTACATTAAGTGGGGAAGCTTTTTGGAATACATGGTGATCCTCCAGAAGTACAACAGATCTTCAGCAGATAAAACTGCCAAAAGAGAATTGTAATGGAAACCAGAAACCAGTGTTTCTCAACCTTGGGAACTTTAAGATCTGTTGACTTTAAATCCTACTATTTCCCAGGCAGCCAGATTGGGGAATTCTGGAAATGAAGTCCACACATCCTAAGGTTGCCAGGATTGAAAAACACTGCCAAAGCAGACCAACATTGTCTCACATAAGAGCTCAGCACTGTCATGTCCAATCAAATCTGTAATTAAGTAAATATCATTATCTGTGGGAATATCTTCGTTTAAAAGCAATATTACAAACTATGTATAACTATATGAACTTACAACCATTTGTTTAGTGATAAAACTGTTTAGGGGCAAAATTCACTTAACAAATGTTTCACTTAACAACATAAATTTTGGGCTCAATTATCATGAGGACTTCCTGTATTATGAAAATGGAAGTGTACCTTCCACCCATCCAAAAGGTGAATTTGATATTATAAACTCATCAGACTTTGATTATTAACAAAACTGTTCTTTACAACAAAACTAAATTATATTGCTCTTCAATAACCAATAAGCAAATTCCCATGGGAAATTTTCAGATTTCAGGTATAAGGTCTTCCCTTACTTTACCCATGGGAACTGGAGAATGCTAAATGGAGTACTAGACTAAATTTCCTAGAGCAGGCATGTCAAACTCGTGACGTCACATCACGTATCGGGATTTTATGTCTGGGTGTTTTATCCTTGGGATGGACAAGCTTCTGGTAGGTCATTTTTGAGATTTGATGAAGGCCCACTTGGGATAGCCACACACTTTGAGGGCTTCAGCTCTGTGGTGTAAGGTTATGATAACTCCCATTTTGTGCTCCAGTGGGTGGTGTGAGTCAAAATGTAACTACTGATCCATGTGAATGTATTTTCTATAAATTTCAGTGTTAAGGCTTCTAACTTCCTTAATGGATACAGCACAGTCCAGAGAAACTAACTACTTTCCTTAACATCTTCATGGGTAAATTTGATGTATCTGTCCACCGAGTTGATATGTTTGGTGAATGCTTCCAATTCTTGTGTTTTGATCTTGACCCATAGAGCTCCTCCATAACAGATGAAGAAATCAGTAAACGAAACAACGTAGTCATTCCATATGTTGCAAGAATATTGGAAAAGTTCAGGAAGATCTTCTACCAACACAACATACGTGCACACTTCAAACCTAAGAATACACTAAGGCAGAAGCTTGTCTACCTCAAGGATAAAACACCCAGACACAAAATGAGCAATGTGGTATATGCAGTACAATGCAGTGAGCCATGTGCAGATCTGTACATTGGGGAAACGAAACAACATCTTCATAAATGTATGGCACAACAAGGAGAACAAAAGCATCAGGACGAGTCAGCAGTCCATCTGCATTTAAAAGACAAAGGCCACACTTTCAAAGACAGCAAAGTCCGGAGTGAGGACCGCTGGTTTGAAAGAGGGGTCAAAGAGGCCATTTATGTCAAAACTGAACAGCCCTCTCTCAACAGAGGGGGAGGGATCTGACATCATCTATCTCTAGTCTACAACACGGTCCTTTCAACAGTTCCAAGAAGGCTCCAGACCCATTTGCAGTACTCAGGTGACCCTGGAGACACAGATAAGCCTTCAGGTAGCTTTAACAACTTGATAAAAGAATGCAAATGAACAGCTGTCTGCAGGAATATAAATTTTCCATTCCCCACCATCCAGTCAGAGCTGAAGAAGCTTCTTGGATGAGAAGCAAAACGTCTTCAAAGAAAAACAATGAAGTCCAGTTGCCTTGTGAAAAAGTATCTTTGGGATAAGCAGCTCTAATCCTCTTTTTCACTGTTTTTGAAATGCAAGTAAGGAACTGTTGCTCAAACTCAAGTTCAGGGCCACACAACGTAAAGTTCCCAAGTTTGAAAAACATTGAACTAAAGCAAAAGATAAATTCTTATCCAGGAAGCAACACAAAGGTCAAAGTAATTCTCTTTTAGGGAAAGGGGCTAGAGATCAGGCATATTCCTTTCTTATAATTTTTCAAAAAATCTTCAAAGTTATACATTTTTTCTCTTTCTGATTTATTACAAACTCATCTGATAATATCAAGAGCCTTCACTTATGTCCTAGAACTATCCAGATATCCATGAACGTAGATTCTCATATTATTTCAGTCTCTTGCAGAACTTTGCAGAGCAAGGACAGATAGAGGATGTCCAACATTTTAGGCAATTTGAATGGCTTTTTCAAAACCACTAGAGATCAAAGTATTTGTGTCAAAGCCTGGGATTCCTTGATAATCATATTATCAGTGGCTCTTTCCATACTCTACTGTATGCCATTTTGTTATCATGGTGAGGCACTTTTACTGTATTTAATTTCAAAGCAACAGAGGACATGCCTACATTAAACATTTCAGCTTACTCCAAACATGCTGCTTCCATAGAAGGAATAGCAACAATTTCAGACATCATTTAGCAGATACACTATGTTAACATTTCTCCAGGTCTTCGTGCAACAGCATTATAGTTGTATTTGTTTAACAGGGCTAAATGAGTGGGGAAGATATACAGTACATTCCAATATGTTGCATTCTAAGACACTTTCCATAACTTGAAATGAATCCTTTCTTAAGTTTCTGTTGGAATTGCAGGTATCTTTTCAAACATCCCTTTTAAGTCTCTAGTGGTAGGGCACCCAGTACAAACACAGGGCAATACTTTGGATTTGAAAGCAAAAAGATGCATTAGAGAACACAGAAGTGCATACATAGCACCTGTCTGCAACTCTCTAATCCAGGCATGTCAAACTCGCGACGTCACGTGATGTCACACAACGTATCAGGACTTTTTTCCCATTGCCGGCAATGGGTGGGTGCGGTTTCAGCATGATGCATCTGGCCTGTGGGCCGGCAGTTTGACATGCCTGCTCTAACCCAAATCTATCTTTAGCTGGAATTGAACTGCAGCTATGGTTAGAATCTGTGCAGTCTTGGGAGAAGATATGGACCTGCTCTAAAGGATTGCAGACAGATGCTATATTTTGCCTTTTAAAATGCTGCATAGCCCCCAGAATGTCTATTAATCAAACAACAATAAATTTGTCAAGTCATGCTAATTGGCTGTAATTACATATCAAGTATGCTCATGTATGCTTCACCAGCATTCCAATTTTCCTCTTGGCTGGCTAACCAAGAGAAATCTATATTTTTAGTTTCTTTTCTAACCAAGATGCTATTGAACTCCAATACCATCACTTCTAGCCATAATGTCCTGTGATGAAGGACTTGTAGTCAATATACTGTACTAATCGCTCTGGCTTTAATGGAAAGCTGTAAAACAAGGTTCTCTTAATAAACCCAAATCATGTAGTTAAAAAAAATGGCTTGCAACTCTAGTTTGTTAAACAGAAATGTGTTAGGGATCTCAATTTACACATTCAGCTTGGAACAAATACTTGACAGATCTGTACATGTCTGCAAAGTCACAGCAGGAAAAATGTGAAACAGTTCAAGCCTAAACAGAAAAAGTAACCATAGCTATGTGTGTAAAAAGTGTTTTTAAATAAAAATAAAAAAATAACAACACTGTATTTCTAGAACAAATACATTAATATTCAAACAGGAGATATGGTATTTATTTTGCTGGGGCTTTAATAAAAGCAGTTCTATGGACTGCACCTTCTGTTCTACAGAAGGTTTCTTTTATAATATTTATTCTGTTGATCTGTTTCCTTCTTTTATAATATTAGACAAAAGTGTTCAATGATAAAAAAGATGACCTAATGTTCTAAATTCTTCAGTTCCTCTAAGGTTACTGGCTAAGAATTATGAGAACACAAACTGAATATCTCATATGTCTAACAACAAAAGTCTGAACTTCCTTACCTGAGAAAAATTGAGACCGTTCAATGGATAGCATTGTTCCTCTACTTTTTCCACTGCTCCAGTCTGCTTCTGGAGACGTTCTGCCTCTTGAGCCAGATACAGATCTAAGACAGGCACACCCCGTGATTTGATGTCCACCTCAGTCAGAGAATTCACCATCAGCATGACCCAAACGGGCCTTTTCCTCTCCCAGTTGCCTGCAATGGCATTGAAGAGATAGTCTGCATACAGGCCTTTGCCTCGTTGATCTGGAGTCATCCAGGAAGGCATCATCAGCTTGACATACTCCATGTGGCGCCTGAGTCGGCGATAGAGATCCCTGGGGAGCACATCCTGAAGGTTCTTGCCCTGCGGTAGGAGCTGGCAACTGGTCAAAGCAGAGATTGTGTAGGGATCTGTGAGGTCCAGCTCGAAGTAGACAGCATGACTCTCCCGGAAAGCTTTCTTAGAATTCTCAGGGATAAAATCCCAGACTCGATTATACGGGACATGAATGGTACCAAAAAGGTAAGATGGTGGGTCTCTCTTTATAGTCCACAGGAAGGAGTTCAGCTCACGTTGCTGAAGGAAAGGAAACACAGCAGTGAAAATAAATAAGGCTGTATATGGGAAACAACATGGGGAACAACTAATCATTAAGTGAGATGGATGAATGGCATAGCCTGTCATTAAATTTATTGAAAAAAACAGTAGATTGGGTACAAATCTTGACTGAGGCTAAGTTTCTAGTGCAAAAATCAGGAAGGCAGGGGAAAATCCAAAAAATAAAACAAAACAAAAAAATTGACTTCATTAGATGTTAGGTGAAGTTCTCATAGTAGCATTGGTACAACTGAAATAGAGAAGTGAGCAATAACTGAGAAACGAATAGAACACAGTTACTGATTTCTCTTAGAAAAAAATGGACTGAGGTTACAGAGCATTTTCAAGGTGCTGTTTAACTTCATATATTTAGAAGGCTTTTTTTCTTCTCTAATCTGGTACACCTCTAATTTCTTTTGTTTACTACTCCTTATTCTGTGTTTTGCACAATGCTATTTATCCCAAAAGGAAAGAGAAACAGTATGTATATAAAAGAAAAGAAAAAAGAAAAACTTTTATATTATACATCAATAATAAATCGTCTTTTAAAAAAGCCAAGGCCACAGCATCTCCCGATAAGAAAAAAGAAACAGGATGCTGCAAACAGCCTTCAAATGTCCATAAAATATATTTTATAACTTTGAAAATCTCATAGGAGATTGATATTAGCAGCCTACAGATAAAGGCAAAGTGATTTGGGGCAGGATATGAGGGTGAAAAAAAGGAAGCCTCTTTTATTTGTTGATCAGATGAATGAAGATAACTGAAAGTCCAAAGAGACGAGAAGTGTCACCTACCCACTTAAAAGCAAACAATGAGTCTTAAAAGCTGCCACAGGCATGGAGGGGGTTAGGAAGGTCAATAGCCCTTTGTTTTAAATAAGCCTGATCTGTACTGTATGTTACAAAGAGCACACAGACAGATCCAAGTCTTTCGAAAAGGCATTTTAGAAAGAAAAGGCATCGCCCCGGGCCCACTCAGAATTTGATTAATGCCCGCCCACCCACTCTCTACCCCTTGTTTTCAGATCTAATGTAACAAAGGTCCCAGGATGAGACAAAGAGCCGAGGTGGTGCAGCAGTTAGAGTGCAGTACTGCAGGCCACTTTAGCTGACTATGTTCAGCAGGTCAGCGGTTCAAATCTCACCGGCTCAAGGTTGACTCAGCCTTCCATCCTTCCGGGGTAGGTAAAATGAGGACCCAGATTGTTGGGGGCAATGTAAATATATATATACATTGCTTACTGATGTACACCGCTTAGAGAGTGCTTGCACTTAAAGCGGTATATAAGTCTCATAAATAAAATAAAATAAAATAAAGGCCTGCATTTTGTTAGACTGTCCTATGAAGAGCACTCCTACTTGCTCCCAGACTCAATACTGCAACTTTAAAACCAGACATTGTGGTTGCACCAGAAAAAAGCAGTTTGTGCCCTTAAAAAGTGGTTTCCCACATAATAAATTTCTCTGAAACCCGTGGCAAAAGAGAGGCTGTAGAACTGGAACCCAGTGAAACCTAAGTAGATGTTACAGGACGTAGACTTTTACAGAACTGACACTTCAAAGCAGGTGTGTCAAACCTGTGGCCCATGGGCCACATGCAGCCCTGGACAGCTAGTAATGCAGCCCCACAAGACCCTAAACTTTAAGCATTATTTACACACACACACACACACACACACACACACACACACACACTTATATATTTTATATGCAACCCAAGACAATTCTCTTCACTCAATGCAGCCCAGGCAAGCAGCACCAGGGACTGGTTTCATAGAAGACCATTTTTCCATGGTCGGGGGGGAGGGGGAATGATTTTGGTTTCACTCACTTGCCTGCCACTCACCCCCAGCTGTACAGCCCCCTTCCTAATAAGCCACGGACCAGTACCTGTCCAATGCCCAGGGGTCGGGGTCCCCTGCTTTAAAGGATGCGTAGGCAAAGAGAATTCAGCTATCATTTTTTTGCATCGGGTCTAAACTTCCACACTCCTAATTTCAATTAGGCCTTTTCAATTATGAGTAGCCTCAGGCCTACAGATAACCCTCCCCACGTCCCAAACTGACAGCACAAGCCGCTTTTCCAGTGTTTTCTCCATTGCTTAAAAGTCTCCCATCCATCTGAACAAAAATAACATCTCCTTGCTAATGGAAGTTCAACAAAAGTGGAGTTAAGTCTGAGTTTTCTCCTTGGCAAATGGGTCTAGAAACTGATCATAGGCTTCTACCAGGTCCTTCACTTTCCCCATACACATCAGACGGTGGTGGGACTACATGCTTCTTCTCTTTTGTGAAGCTACACAAAGCTTCACCAGCTCAGTATGGTTATCTCCACAATACAGTACACTCAAAACAAAAAGTACCAATAATCTGAAGCCACCTATAAGGAATGTAACACGTATCACTATGTGTTTGCATTTAATTCTCACATATTACAAGCAGGAAGCCCATTGGTCACACTGACCACCTGTGAGAGAAGCTGAAATTTAACTCAATTTTTGAACCATATTTATTCCTATGGTTCATTTTTATACGTGACAGGTTTCTGTGCCAATGAGAGAATGATTAATATATGTAGTAGTAAAGTATTTAATTTTTACCTTTTGGAAGATCTCAGGATTGGTTTCAACTGCAATCGACATTAACTTTGGCAAGATAAAAGATGGGCAGTAGAGGATTTTTGTCTTTATTGAGATCCCCCACCCCCAAATCTTTTTAGTGAGGGATTATCTTAAATTTAGGATCACAGAACTACGGAACTGGAAGGAGCACCTATGCCAGTTATCTAATAACTTTTATTTTTAAAACAGTTAAAATAGATGCTAAGTTTATTCAAGCTATAGCAAGAAAAAAGTTGTATTTATAGATCCAAAACAGGAAATAGCATTCCATTCACACTAGTTAACACTTATTTTTATTTTTACTTTCCTTAATGTTATACTGCAGTTTAGCAGAAGTATTTCCAAAGCAGCAACGGTGTGTTCTTCCAGATGGTCTGAATTTGAAATGCCATTTCTTAAAATTACACACCAAAATCTGACACTGTATTCATCTTCAAGAGCTATTTGACAATTATTGAATAGGGACCAGCAGGACAATGATAAAAAGGAACATTCATCAGTGTTGTTTCTCTTATTAAAACATTTAGATTCCATTTATTCAGGTCAACTTCTGATACAGCAGAAAGACTGCATCTCTATCGTTTCCCACAACAATGTCAATAAGAGTGGTCGAATGTGGAAAACTATATTACCTTAGATCAGTGGCCCCCAATCTTTTGGGCACCCGGAACCAGTTCCGTAGAGAAGATTTTTCTGTGGACTGCAAGGAGCGTGGTTTCACATGCTGCCTGCATCCCGCAGATTTGGCTTTGCTTGTTTGCGCAGCCCGGTTTCTAGCATGCCGCAATCAGATGCCAGTTGGGGACCCCTGCCTTAGATTATTTCTGCTACAATTTATTTATTATGCTTCTCTTCACCTTCATTCAAGGAAAGCCAGTTTGCTGTAGTGGTGAAGGCACCCGACTAGTAGACTGTGAGTTCTAGTCCTGCCTTAGGCATGAAGCCAGCTGGGTGGCCTTGGGCCAGTCCCTTACTCTCAGCCCGAGGAGGGAGGCAATGGCAAACCACTTCCAAAAACCTTACCAAGAAAACTGCAGAGACTAGGCCAAGCTGTCACCAGGAATCAACACTGTTAATTCCAAGTCAGTTTACTATTATTAATAATTTATCCAAGAACTAAAGATAAAAGCTCCTGAACAATTAGGTACTATAAGCAAATTTCTTGTTTAAAAAAGAGTTTAACAAAAATACTTTAATAAATAACACAACAATGACTCAAAACATAAAATTTGCTATAGAAGTATAAAATTGCTGATTTCCTGGAAGACTTACAATAAGGTGACCAACCGTTCTCCTTTAGGGAGGACAGTCCTCCTTTTGTGAGTTCTGTCCTCCCTTGAAAAGTGTCCTCCTACATGTCCTCCTTTTCGATATTTGAAGACTAATCTGCAGGGCTTTTTTTTCTCATAGAACGCTCAGAACGGCATTCCGGCACCTTTTTTTTGATGGTTTTTTTTTTCAACTTTTGCATGAGCTATGCAAAAGCCAATAGGAATTGCTGCTGAGCACGCCAAAACACTCGGCCGGCAAACTTTGCACAGGTAAGTTGTCTGCAGCGAAGGCGAATTGGCAAGAACTTTGTACCCCTCCCTGCTACCCAACTACACCATCTCCTAGTTAATCCCGAAGATACCTGGAGGAGACTGGAGTGGCGATGCCATGGTAACTTACTCTTGATCTTCGGCCCTGCTAGGGCAATAATGACTGCGGGTGCAAGAGGCAGGGGCGGCGGGGCTGCTGCAGGCGGAGGTGTGAGGGGTGGTGGTGGCTGTGCTGTGGGAGCTGTGGGGCCTGCTCTACATGGGGCTGCGCAGAGTGGGCGGTGGTGCTGGCGGGGCAGCTGTAGATGGGGTGTGTCAATGGCGGGCTTCCTCCTGTGGCTGGAGCCGGCACAGCTGGTGCTTTGGGAGCCGCGGGGCCCGCTCTACATGGCGGGGCAGCAGTGCTGGCGGGGCGGCTGCAGGCGGGGGCGTGGCATGTAAGCATAATTACAATATAAAATGTTATTGTTACAAATGTTTTTATTATGCATTCATCATATTATAGTGTATTCTGTATTATTGTTGTAATGAATAAAATGTTTCTTTTATTTACGATATTTTTTCTTCAATTTATTTGTGTCCTCCTTTTCGTTGTAAAAAAGTTGGTCAACAAGACCAACTTACTTACTTACAAGACAATCAGAATAGTAGTCTAACTGGAAAAATTGTGTGGTGGGGGGTGGGGGATCCTAAAAGCAACACAGGCAAACTGCTTCAATACTACTCTCAAATGTTGTCCCAGACAATGCTTGCTATTTGCCTGCAATCAAATATCCCATAGTCATATGGAATGTCATAATACTAAGTGACAGCATT